TTTAGACTGTCCCTTTTGCTCTTACTAATGTCCCTGCAACTTGTTCCCATCCATGTTGCCATTTTACATAGAGACCAGACCAAACCCAACTTCTAATCCATCTTTTCCTTACACCTGCAATACTTCATTTCCATAGGATTTTGTTCATCAAAGTTCCCCCACTACAACTGGTCAGCTAGACCCAGCAAAAGGCTTGCAATCCACTGTACATCCAGTGTGGTATCAATGCACTGGCTTGCTGAAAAGCATCAGCTGTTAGTTTGTTTTGCCTTTTAAAGAGAAAAAACTTCTGTTCACGTCTCTCTCCAGAATACTTTTTTCTTTAAGAAAACGGGATATTCACATTATTCAAGCAGAGCATGCTATCCTGCTTACTGTAGGTGCTACAGGTATGTTTGAAGGGCTTGCCTTTGGGTATTTCTTTTGTTTGTTTTCTTCAAATCCTTCTAAGGTTCAGAAACCCCATTAATGCTATTTAGAAAATTATTATCACCTATTATTTTGTAGCTATGAATGTCTGCAGAATTAAATTATTTGTAGAGCCAGAACAAATTTGGGATTAAGCCCTTCCTCTCAGGTATTACTATTTTTGGTTTGGAAACAAATCCCAGCAACTGCAAGCAGGAGAAACCTACAATTTTCAGATTATCTGGGCTTGGAATAAATTAGAAATAGGTTTCTAGCCTTGGGCACCACAGTTTCCATACATACAAGTTTACTTGAAAACATTCTTGGCCTCTATTGAATTACGACCAAAATGATGCCATTCCAGGCAACAGAGCACACATCTGTCCTATATTCCAATGAACAGTAAAACACATGAAGGATGCCACAAGGATATCATCCTCTAGTTTTGTTTCTGCTCATTCTTTTTATGCTGGAGAAATACTAGTGATACTGGAAACTTATTAAAAAAATCTCAACAGCTGAACTTAGTTGAAATCACTCATACCTCTTCAACATAATTCCCAAAGGGAAACACCAAGGACTTTTTATAATTGCTCCTCTAAACGTGAAGCCATCTATTATTAGATGAAATACTCCACTTACTTAGAGAGATAAAACACTGTTCAAAATAATAATAAAACATCCCAAAGGGTTACAAAGGCAGGTTAAAATGTGATTGTCTAAGCTGATTTATCTACTTGTGAATACTTGCATTGCATATCAACTCTGAATTTTTGGAACTAGATGATCTTTAAAGTCCCTTTCAACACAAACCATTCTGTGATTTAGATATTTTCTAGGAGAAGCATTGGTTTTAGTTTAGAATCTGAAGTGCTATCTGACAGCTATGCATCCTAAACTAGCATTAGGTGGAGATCCTGGCCTCACTGAAGCAACTGGGAATTATGCCATCGCCTTCCATTTGGATTACAAATGATTAAAACTCATTACTGCCCAGAAAGACAATTTTCAGTACAGAAGACAGCCACGGTGCCATGGCTTTCAGGAGCCCTATTTGCTGTAACAAAGCCTGGCTTCAAAGTTGTGTCTCTTGCTAACACCACCTTATGTCCTGCTGTTAACGCAGGACTTTGGTGTCACCTTTTATTATTACACACTCACCTGCATGTCACCTTTCTCTTCTTATTTCAGTTTAATTTATAGGTGTTGATGAGATTTAGAATGTAGCAGTATGACAAAGGCTAACCTATTTTAGAAAGTGGGCTAGGGAAGGAGATTTGTGGTCCTTAACTCTCGCAATATTGAAAACACAGGACAACTTGTGCATCTGACCAGTAACTACCAACAGGTAGGAATAAACTGTGAGCTCTCAGGGTGAAGCAGCAACCTCCTCCTATGGCTTCAGAAGCAGCTGAGTCTTCTGTTGTATTCACATACCACTTGTGAACAACAGCAGTGCAATGTAGGTGCAAGAAACCACCCAGGTTCTGTGATGCTTCAAAGACTAAAGTAAACAATTATTATCTTTGCATGCAAACCTACAAAAGATATTAATCACATGATCAACCAGTTCAGCTTTTAAATCTAATCACTGAATTACACAATTCTACAGTCCACTGCAATTCCTAAGGTTACATATAACATTTAGTAACCTATCCTTCTATTCTTTTAAAAGTGTACCTGTCAGTAATTTCATTAAGCATTGTCCTTGCTGATGTAATAATGAGCTTCAATACAAGACAAAAGCCAGAGGGTTTGGCACTAAATAAACAGATTTCTTTCCTATAGAGTACTATCTTTAAAAACAACAAACACTGAAGGGTGTATATATTATTATTTAGGTCCTACTTGTCAGGAAGGTTTTCTTTTAGCATTGTGTTACTAGGTGTGATCTTAAATTCAGTTTATTTTGGAGGAAACTGGGAAAAAAACCGAATCACACCCAGGTTACAGGCTCCAGATCCTCATCAAGAAGCCCTCTCAAAAAAAGGCCAAAGGATTTGCTGTCATTCAGGCTTTACTTTACATCAGCTGAGAGAATTAAGAATTTACACCATGGTCAAAGCAGATTCTGACCGATTTATTTCTTTTGCATAGCACATAGCACTAAGCTGGCACACACATTTATACTTCATGAAAGAACATGAAGCAGGAAAACACAGGCTGAGGACCAGTGGTTGCGTTAAGAGTGTAAACACCCTCAGCAAACACCAAGGCAATGCTAGGCCTCCATGAGGGACTCCAGGTAAGGACCCAGCCTAGAAACAGGATTCCTGCCTGCTGGAACGGCAGGGTTCAGCAACATCCCCTCCATGAGAGCAGAAAGAGCAGGTGAAACCGAGGCTTGATGAACCAGGAGCCCTTTCAAATCAAGGTGCGTGTCTTTCTGCTCTTGAAAGGACAATCTGGGACCTTCTGTCAAAGTCTGCAGCATGTGCACGTACCACTAACTCCTCACCTAGCTTTAGTCCTCCCTAAACAGAAAACTAAAATACTCTTATTTATCAAATTATGATTATTTTTACTGTTTTTTGATAAAATATTCACATTCTCTAGGTATAGTAAATAAAGCCAACTGATACTCCTGCTGGCACCCTCAGTATGCAAAAAACCCATGCTACGACAGTGAAATGTTTCCAATAAACAGGAAGGATCTTCTCTTTCTTCCTAATGGCCTATATAAATTTTTTGCCTTGCTATCTTAACATTACACCCCAATCACTACCAGCCACAATCACTACCTGTGCCTGAGAATAGTGGGAAGAGAGCTTCTCAGGCAAGCATCCCTGCAGCCACCCTAGCAGTAGCTTTACCAACTTCATTTAAAGATGTGTTTAGGCGACATTGGAAAGCAGTTCTTCAGCATGCACCATCCTCTGGAACCACAATTACACACCTATCACTAACAGGGAGGCAGCGGTAACCTGCAGGGAGCTCCCTCCTCAGTGTGGAGTTACAACCAGTTTGGCAGCAGTAACATCTGACATGATCTGATGCAACTTTTAAACCTTCCTTTTCAGGGAAGACAGCAAGCCAGAGTGTGTTTCTGACTCTCCTCCTGCTATATCCCACAGGAGGGCTTGTGGACACAGAGAGGGGAACTGCTGCACCTCTCAGCGCATCCCACCTTACCTGGCATTCAGGTACATGCCCTGCTCTGCCCTATTTTTCTACAGAAAGGGACAAGGAAGATGCACTGACTTACATAAGTGGTTAACAAGTGAATTCTCAAGTACCAGTGTCTTCCAGCAGTGGCCCACTTCTGGCTGTAAAATCTGGCAGGTACCATCACATGCTTTTAGATACGAAACTATTCTATCTGTGGAAGGGTTGACTTATGGTTGAGTGCAGTCACAACCATTTTATGAGATTTTTCAACAGAAATTATTCAGAAATTGAACAAAACTGTCTGGAAATTACTTTGGTATGTACTCTAGGAGCTCTGTCTGCCCCTGTGCAACTATCAGTGCTATCGCATTTCTCTTAACCGCTCATGGCATTTGCAGTGGATCCTCACATGTAAGTACTGAATATGAAAAAGGTTGTGCTCTGTTTTTCTGTATATGAAACATCAATAAAGGTGCATTAAGAACTCTGCCTTTGTCTAAGCACCAGGACAATGCTGTCTGAGAAACAAAGAGTGCCTGGCAAGCCATTTACAATTATCAATAGGGAAATGTACACAGCTTTTTTCATTTCCTAAGCAAAAGGCCACTTCCATCCACCATGCCACAAGAATGCATACCCTGAAGAATGCAGACAAATCAAAGAATGTGTGGATATGTTTCTCCAATGACAATATTCAGTTCCAGAAGCAAGAAAACAATTGAAAGCTTGATATATTTAAGTCTTTAAAAGAAAGACTGAGAGCTGAACTATCAGAGGATGGCAACAGCACCCTAAAGATTGCCAGTGAGATATTCCCACGCGACTGCTGTGCAGGGACCGCCCTTGTACATCTGGAGAAAAGAAGGCTCAGGGGAGACCTTATCATCATGTTCCAGTATTTAAAGGGTGACTACAAAGAAGACGGAGACTCCCTTTTACAACGAGTCACAGGGAAAAGATAAGGGGTAATGGGCACAAGTTACAGCCCTGGAGAATCCAGCTGGACCCAAGAGGAAATTTTTTCACAATGAAAACAACCAATCACTGGAATAATCTCTCCAGGGAAGCAGTGGATTCCCCGACACTGGACACTTCTGAGATTCGGCTGGACATGGTACTGGGACATCTAGCCCAGGTCATGCTTTCTCCATAAACGCTGGACCAGATGATCCCCCGATGTCCCTTCCAGCCTGGTCCTCTATGACTGTAGGATCTGTTTCCATCCTCTCCCACTCGGATTATGCGTCTCGGCGGGAAGAACGAGGGTCAGGCGGGTAGACGGCGGGGGGGGGGGGGGGGGGGGGGAGTGTATGCTCTAGCATCCCGCGGGGGCAGCCCCACGCAGCCGGGTTGCATAAGCCCCGCTCAACGGCGATGCTACGGGTGAGTCAAAACGCTTTCACGGTTCCCCATCGCCTGACGGCGGAGGCACCCCCGTCCCCGATGCTGCCTGCAGCCGCTGCCCGCCCCCCCGGACCCCTCACCTGCTCCTCCTGGCGCCGCCGGTGCCGGGCGGGCGCTGCCAGAGCTTCCCGCTCGCACTCCCCGAGCGGCTGTGGCGGTGTCGGCAGCAGCAGGAGTTCCGCCGCCGAGCCCATGGCTCCTCCGCGCCCAGCGGGACCACTGCTCCCGCTGTTACCGCCGGGGCGGGACCGTCACGGGGTACGGGGCGGTGCCGCGGAGAGTGAGGAGGCGGCTCCGGGCCGCGGCAGGGATGTGGGACCTAGGGGAGGAGGAGCTTTCTCCTCCTCCTTTTGCTGCTGCTCGGTGCCGCCTCAAGTGGGAGCTGCCGAGGGCAGTTGTCTGCTTGCTGGTGATTAAATACAGCAACAACCCAGTTTCGCAAGCGTTGGTTAGAACCGGGAAATGCCTGGTGTTTAAAGAGTTAATTTAGCACCGCTTCCCGTTAGTGTGTACCTGGGGAGGAATGCTGGACTGGCACCACAAGGTGTGGCGTTTGCTGTTCCTCCCAAGAAAGAGGAAACTGCTCTTCTGAAGCTGCTCCTCTTCTTAAAACCAGCGGATGGACGCGAGGAAGAAGGAAATGCAACAGCAAATCCAGAAGATAATGCTTTAGTGTCTCAGGGTGACAGTATGGAGGACTGAAATGTTAGTGGAGATGTGCCACCACACTGAGGTGTGCCTGGCTCCTGTGCCCAGTGGAGGAGCAGCACTGTGCCTTTGAAGAGAGGGAATCATAATATCACAGAATGGTTTGGGTTGGAAGGGGCCTTAAAGCTCATCTGGTTCCAACCCTCTGCCATGGGCCAGGACACCTTCCACTAGACCAGGTTGCCCAAAGCCCTTCCAACCTCACCTCACTTCTGCCAGCCCTGCATGTGCTGTCAATGCAACCACCTCAGTACAACACAGCAAGAAGCAGCCCTCAAAAGTGTGCATGGCATTTGCAAGCTGTGGCGGGACCACTGATGGCACCTTTGTGCATCTTTCTCCTCATCCAGAAGCCACTTCATATATTAATTGTGGCAGGTCTGCTCAACTCTTTGTTTCCAAAGAAATTATTCAGAAATTGACCAGAGGCACCAACAGGTTGTGTGGCAGTAGGATCCAGTGGAAATCAGACATTCAGATGAATTTTATATAGCTCTCTGGTGGCTGAGTGTGGAGCTCACTGTTGTTTGGAGGGGATTCTGTTTTTTGCTTTTCCTGTTGTTATTGTTGGGCAACAATCAGCAATAGCTGTAGGAAACAAAACCATCACATAGAAACGCTCATGTGTGGTGGTATAGTCACTTTAAAAATGTGGAACAATACACAAGCCACACCAGTTGTCAGGCCCTTTGGTTTGGATGCAGAGGTTGAGGCCAGCACAGGGAAAGCTGTCCTGCGGCTCCTCTTCTGATGGAGCAGCTGGACGCAGCTGCTCCCTGACGTGCAGAGTGGCCAAAAGCGGTTTGTCCTGATGACCTAATTGCTTGTCCAGAGTTCTGGTCCATGACCCATTTGTTAACAGTGTTTCTCAGGATCAGGGACAGGCTTGGAGGAATATCAAGCTGTTGAAAAAGTGCCCGTAAACCATTGCAATCCTGTTGGCATGGGGAAATACTGGACACCAGGAAGAATCCAATGGACATCCACTACTGAGGGCTGTCATGATGTATTCCTGTGCATGACGTGGCTGCTCAGCAGCAGGTCTGTAAAACATTCCTGAGGTTCTCTGTTCCTTCGGTCATTTGTGAAGAAATAGAGTCTCACACATAGCAAACTCTCTCTGAAAAAAGATCTTAAATAAAGCATTGATTAGGTGTCCCTTTCAGTGAGTTTTTTGGTACACTTCAGTACACTTAAGCCTCTGCTGGTTTATGGATCACAAAAGCTTGTATTAGATTTTGGTTTTTAGTTGGTGCTGAGGCTGCTGTTCTGTACACCACAGCTTCTGGTCCCTGCTGCCTCTCAGGGTGACCAGTGACTGCTGTGCCAGGAGTACCATAATGTGTGCTGTCTTTATGATAGGCAAAAAAGTCACGTGCCAAAAGAAATTGCAGAGATGCAAGTTAATGGGCAGTTTCTGCAAAGTAACTATTTTGCATGGGGCAACCTGCAGTCTATTTGTAATACATATACAGACACAAATTCTCCCAAAAGTTAGAGAGGTCCCCTTGCATGACTCTGTCATATGGGGGGTCACTAAGGAGAGTTGGAACCTCATGATAAAAGTCTATAAATCAGGGGTTTTCTGAACAAACAGTGGTTGCAGTAGGAGGGAGAGCAAATACTACAGCTTTGCTCAGAGGTGGGACAGGCTGAGTGTACTGGCCTTGTTGAAACCTGGACTGCAGAACATAGAAACAGCTGGAGCAAGTGAGACTGCAGCTCCCTCCACATGGGTGTCTGCTCGCTAATCATAGCCAATAGTAGGGTAAAGAGTAACATGCTGCAGCAGTGCTTCTTGAGAGTACTCTTTTGGCTTCCAGTAATCTGAGGTTCAAAGACTTTCTGATCCCAGGCGCTGAGTTGGATAGTTGGACAGTGAGGGCAGTATTTCAGTGGTGGGATCAAAGGCAGAAGAGGGAGGGCATGCTACCACAGGGATCACATGTGGCCAAGTCATTCAGAGTGCTATATCGGCCTTGTTGCCCTGAGGAATGCATCTCTTTCATCCTGCTCATTTTTCCCATGCCCTTGGCATTCACTAGTACTGCTATACTGCTGTCATGGCTGCGGCAGTGAGCCCCTCTCCAGGGATGTCAGCTGCCCTTTCCCTCAGTTATTCCCCGTGCCTGAGGGCATGAACGCGAAGATGACTCCTGCCAGAGTGCAGGCTGTGGTTTGATGGTACGATAAAACCAGTTTCAGGCCATTTAATTCCAGGCCGAAAAGGCCATAAAGACCTTTGAACCAGCAACGACACATTGCTTGTTCAGAAGTTTGTGATAGCTAAGTACTGTGCATATGGGTTTGATGCCAGAGCAGGTACTGTGCATCCTCTCCCTCAGCTGTCAGAAAGCTGGCATGAACACTACCAGCAGCCTAAAATTTGGCCTTACGTTCTAGCCCATTTGGCGGGTACACAATTGTGTGCCTACATCAGCTCCAGACCAAGTTGGGCCTTTCGGATTATTCTCAACACGGAACTTACCCTTGTGGGGACTCAGAGAGGACAGCAACAAGATACAGTGGATGTGTCAAGTCCTCACCTGCTTCCTACCTGCCATTTCCTATCAGTGGCAACTCAGCTAACTTACTTCCTCCAAGTATGTGGTTAAGGACACCAGGGAAAAAAAGATAACTTTTCGTATGCATCTAACAGATGCAACTGACTTCAGTACGAGATTCATTCAGATTGCTGAGTGCACAGTTTAATCCTGAATCTTTCCAAACTCCAGAGTCCATTTAAATATTAAAAGGCTTGGAAAAAAACAGAGGTTCTTTAAGTCTCTGGTAATGGAAACTTTTGTCATAACTGGGAAGAGGTCAATGTGGTTTTATATAGTATAATGGATTTACTGATGAATGTAACATTTCAAACTCTCTGATAGATTTTACCTACTTTATATTCCAGATGTTAATATAAGTAAATTCTCTAAACTCTCAGACAATTTGTCCAGTGTGCCTATGCAGCTTATGGTGGTCATTGGAGCTCTTACAAGGATTTTTGAAGTAAAGCTGTTAAGTTCTGTAATTTTCTTAGATCCTTTGAGGATATTAAGAAATACAAGAAATGGCTTTTCCAACACTGGAAACAAAGTGAACTGGGAGAAATTGGAATTCAAAACATGAAAATGTATCAGAGTATACTGAATAAAAATGAAATGAAGCAATTAATTTGGTTCCTTTTTCTTCCATGTATAATGACAAAAGGACATTAAAGATCAGCTGCCATTAGCAATCCCTATTCTGCAATAGTTGATATATATCACACAATCTCATTTAAGGGCCAAAGCAAAATGTACATGGGCTTATATATACAGGCTCAGAGAGAGAGAAACAAAACAGTAATGGAGAAGTCCTATTACAAAAGGTCACCTGGAGCACTTCCCAGCCACTGGGGGTAGTTTTCTGCAGTTACCTTTTTTAATGCATTTGCCAATCTAATTTTTATTTGACTTTATATATATATGTGGTTTTGGGTTTTTTTTTGTGTCTCAAGTGAATTTTGCCGTTTCCCTTGGATATCATTTTGCAGGATGAAAAAAAAATCAGCCCAGAGTTCCCCCTCCCCCCCAGCTTTGAAGTCTAAATTTCCCCCTTTTTATTTCATTCTATTTTCAGGTTAGATCAATTTTTCATCCTTGATGAAGGCCTGATTTTTCTGCACAGGCTCCTTGCATGATCAATATTTACTTCTAACCCCATTAGGATTAGTAAGGTTCTGTTGCAAAACAACCTTAATTTTGCTTACTTCAGTCGCTCTGATCTTAATAATAAATTCTTAATTTATGACCTTTCTTCTTGGCTACTGTTTGAGAGTTTTGATTTCTTTGTCTTGCTATGAGCCTTTTATAAGTGCATACTCTATTGCAGTAAGAACTCAAAGCAAGCAAAATAAATGCTTTGAAAATGTATAGACAGTTGAAATTCACAGCAATGTATGTATTTATTTGCTTATTACTGCAGGACGCTAGAAGTATGGGTCCAGTTTGCTGCTTGCTGCCACTCACAAGGTTCTTGTGCTTTCAGCAGTTCTCCACAATAATGCAGCCTTTTCTTTTTGCAGTCCTCTCTGCTGTGTTCAATAGCAGTAAAATGGTTCTCCCTGTTCTTCTGTAAGTTGAAATAAGTCTGATGGGCCACTAATATAATGCTTTGTGCAAACCCAGTGATGTGCTGTACCAGTTTCACAAGCTCCTCTCTGCCTCTCCCTTCCTCATCCATGCTGGTGGCCTATCGCCCTCCCTCAGCTGTTCTTGCAGACTGCATAAGGGTCCCTTCTGTGGGCCTGGAGGGAAATATATTGGCCAAGTATTATAAAGGGCTTGTGATCATTCCCAGCCTAGTCCCATGAATAGTTTTGTTTCTGCTAAAGCAGGATGGTGCTTTGAGTCATAGGAACAGAAACAAATGCCTTGAGGCATGAGAAAGGGAAGGGAGAGGGAAACTCCTTAATAAAGCACTGGTGGTAAACACTTTACATGAGGATCTATGACCTCAGCCCCAACATTTAATCATACTTCCTTTCCTCTACCAAGAATCAGTTTGTGTTTACGTGGAAAAATGGTTGGTGCTTGGTTGCTTGGCTGGTGGTTATTTTCTTTTTGAG